TGGACTCCCACATGACTAACTATAGTTCGAGTCCTGGACCTCACACACACACTCTGTCCCTCTCTGGTCAAATTAAAATAAATAAATAAAGTTAAATAAAATAATTAAAATATAATAATAGGGAACAGCAGTTAGCATAATGGCTATGTCACTGGACTCCCACGTAGTCGACCACAGTTCGAGTCCTGGACCTGGTGGCTTAGACTCATGCCAGGTGCGTGTGCATGCGTGCCCAAGATCCCGAGAGGAGAATGGAGGAGAAGGGATTGCGGCGTGGCCATCCCCCCTGGGGGGTGATTTCTCGCTTTCTGTCTCTCTGTCTCTATCCGTCTGGCTGGCAAGAGCATGCGCCCTATAGCGAAAACCTCTCCAAAAAAAGGAGAAAAAAAAAAAACAAACATAATAATAATTCTTTGCAAAAGAGAGACAGCGAGAGACATGGGTGAAAATGTTTCCCACCCATGTTTTGGCACCAGGCTAGGTCGGAGGACGCTCTGAGAGTCGGGGGAGACGGGCGCTCACCAGTCCTGCACGGCGTTGAAGGATTCCTCATTGGTGATGTCATACATGAGGATAAAGCCCATGGCACCCCGGTAGTAGGCTGTGGTGATGGTTCGGTACCGCTCTTGTCCAGCTGTATCCTGGGGAGGGAGAGTCAAAGGTCACAGAAGACCCACACATCAGCCGTCGAGAAGGACTGAGCCGTGAGATCATTTTGCTCCTTCGAGGACCAGAGAGGGTTAGGAGTTTGTCCAGGGTGACAAAGATTCCTAAAGAGCAAGCGGGGTCACATGTACTGGGGACACGCGAGTGCGCAGTGGTCCTCAGGGTCACATGACCTGCAGAACCGTTCTATTATTCATTCAACAAACACGGACTAGGCACTGACACATACCAAACCCTGAGCTGGACACTGGGGTCACAGTTCAGAAAATGAACAGGAGGGACCAGCAGTTAGTGTGATAGCTATGTTGCTGGACTCCCATATAGTCGACCGCGGTTCACGTCCCGGACCCGGTGGCTTAAACTCATGCAGGGCACATGTGCGTGCGTGCCCAAGATCCCGAGAGGAGAATGGAGGAGAAGGGATTGCGGCGTGGCCATCTCCCCTGGGGGATGATTTCTCGCTTTCTGTCTCTCTGTCTCTCTCTGTCTGTCTGGCAAGCGCACGCGCACTGTAGCCAAAAAGAAAATGGACAGGGGGCAAGGCCGGCAGGTGGCATGGTGGTTAAGGGCACTGGACTCCCACATGGCCGACTATGGTTCGAATCCCAGATCTGGCAGCTTCCTTTCTCACTTTCCCTCCCTCTCTCTCTCTCTCTCTCTGTCCATCTCTGGTCAAATTAAAATAAATAAATAAAATAAAGTTCAATAAAATAATTCTAAAACAAAAAGAAAATGAACAGAGGGGTTAGCAGGTGGCGTGGTGGTTAAGGTACTGGATCCCACATAGCTGCCTCTGTGGTTTGAGTTCCAGACCCAGACTCCGGGTGCTTGTGCGCCTGTGCCCCAAATCCGAGAGAATGGAGGAGAAGGGATTGCAGCAAGACCGTCCCCACTGGGGCTCTCTCCGTTTTTCTCTCTCTGTCTCTGTCTCTCTCTGGCAAGCGCATGCATCTTGTAGCAAAACTAAAAATAAAATAAAATGTACAAAAAGTTCTTAGGCCTCTGGGGGCTGGAGGGAGGAGGCCAGGAGACCCTAACAGAGGCTCCTGTGTGTGTCTTAGAGTCTTGCATGAGGAACTCCAAGAGGAGGAAACTGAGGCTCCCAGACCAGGCCACGCTGTGGGAACAGGGCTATTACCTGTACCCCTGCCTTCTGGGAAGAAGCAAGCATCTGCAAAACGCACCATGAGTGAATGAATGAATCCAGCTTTGGCAAGGCGTGCACACCGCCCCAACCGAAACCCTGCAGCCGGACCCACCCAGATCTGCAGCTTGATCCTCTTGTCGTTGCGGTAGATGGTCTTGACCTTGAAGTCGATGCCCACGGTGCTGACGAAGGCGGGCGTGAAGGAGTCGTCGGCGTAGCGGAAGAGGAAGGACGTCTTGCCCACGCTGCTGTTACCAATGATGAGAATCTTGAACATGTAGTCGAAGTTCTGATCCGAGGACTCCTTCTGCCCATAGCGCGAATCCGTGGCAGACGCCATCTGGACGGGCAGGGTGTGGGACAGTGTGAAGGGAGACCACCTCCATCCCCAACTGCCCAAGCCAGGCACCGGATGCAGACAGCGCCAGAGAAGGTCCCTCTTGCAAATATCACCCCTATGCCCCATCGGCAGCCCCAGTGACCTTCAAAGACCAGACATTTCAGCAGAGCTCGGAGGAATGCCACGGAGACACCCCAAAGACCCCTCCAGCACGCCTGAACCCTAGGTCAGGCTGTAACCTTAAACCTTTAGGTGCACGCTGGGAGGAGGGGCCACGGTCGGCCCCGCCCCCATCAATCTTTCACGGTCCTCAGGACGCAGCTGCACGGGCTCACGTGCACACGCGTGTACAGCCCTTCGGGATGGCATGTCTGCAGCCCCTCTACCACGGACGCCCCCACCCCAGGCTGGGAGAGATCTACTGAGGCGGCTGCATCACGTGATGGGGCGGGGCGTGCACATCTTCAAGTGCACACGGCCCCCATACACACACAAACAGGCGCATACACACGGGTGTGCGAACATGTTCACAAGCACAAGACAGAGACGCAGACACCCCTCTGCACAGCCACCGGCATGCAGAAATGTGCAAACCCTCCCGTGCATATGGCTCCTTCCACCCATGCTCGCATATACACATCACCCAGGTGGACACAGATCCCGGTGCACGTATGCCCAGGGCGTGCACACACACACACGCACACACAGTCCTTGCGTCTCCCTCTACATGCGTGCAACACGCACACGCTTAGATCCAGACCCTACCCTCACGGAGTCACACGAGCAGAGCCAGGTACACACGCATGGGTACACACAGACCCGCTGGCATAGGCGGGTGCGCAAACGCGTGTGCACATCACGCGCACGCGCACGCAAGAGCCTCCCGCGCGCACACCTTCCCGCAAGGCACTTGACTCCCCTGTCCCT